AGAAAACAAGGACAAGAGCTATAACCTTCCACCCAGGAACATGGCCTATCTGCTGTGACTCATTCTCTTGTGTTTCTCTGATTTCCTGTTGGCGGAACCAGAATGAGATATCACCTCACACCTGATAGAATGGCTGTTACCAAAAAGACAAGAGATAACAAATGCTTGTGAGAATGTGGAAAAAAGAGAATCCATGTGCACTGTTGGTTGGAACGTAAATTGGTGCAGCCACTATGGAAACCAGTATGGAGGTTCCTCAAGAAATTAAAATAGAAGTACCATGGGATCCAGCAATCCCACTATCTAATGAAGTAAAATCACTATCTCAAAGAGATATCCGTACCCCCATGTTCAATGTAGCATTATTCATAATAGCCAAGTCATGAAGAGAAGTTGGTCAAAGGGTAAAAACTTCCAGTTATAAGAAAAATAAGTTCTGAGAATCTATTGTACAGCATGACGATTATAGTTAACAATACTATATTGTATACTTGAAAGTTGCTAAGAGATTAGATCTTAAGTGTTCTCGAAGTAACAAAACCAAAAAATGGTCATGATTCAAGGTGAAAAAATGTGTAAACTAACTTTATTGTGGTAATCATTTTGCAGCATATATGTATTAAATCATCTCATTTTATACCTTAAATTTACACAATGTTATACCTCTATTATATCTCAATAAAGCTGAAAATAATCAATTCCTTATTTCATAAAAAAACAGTTGTTATAAAATTTTGCAAAGATGGTGGCAACAGAGGTTTATCTTTTGAATCTTTTAAAATTCCCACATAAAGACTGCCTGAGCAACTGGGAAACAAAGCCAAAAACCCATGGACAACATTTACATTAAACCTAGGTGGCAAGATTCTTCAAAAACCCAAAATACGATATAAGTGAGTGAGAACAAACCACCAAGAGCCTCGAGAACTGCAGGGTCCTGAGTGTGTACAGGAAGCAGAGGAAAGCAGCTTCTGAACAGCCTAAGAACACAGCCAACTAGTCATCACCAGAACAAGCAGAGGACCAACGGACGAAAAGCAGCTTACACTGAGGGACTTTGCCTGCGCCAGTGACAGCCGAGTACAAGGGTCCTCAGTGAGGGGTAAAGGGGCGGGAGCAGTCTGCCACCTGAACAGTCAAAACTGAAACCCCACAGCCTCCTTACAGGCAAAGCCCCACAGTGAAGAAAAACTCCCGAGAAGGTAATCAAAACTGAGCAGACTGGGGACAAAAGAGATGGACGTTCCAGATAAAAATGGACAGAAACCTAGCCAAGAAATTTCATAAAACAAGCCCTTGCATTTTTAATACTATATAAGAAAACAACAGAAGAGGAAGCTTTGTTATGTTAGAAAAGCTACCCTGATCCATGCCTCCTTATAAAAGTTTAGGTGTATATGAAAGTGATTTTGTACAAAAAATTTAAGATGCTAAAGAATGTAAGTCAAATTTCTTACAAAAATTATGAGGGAAAGGAGACTAAAAAACAAAATACCACTCCTACAGACAATGAAAGCACTTCAAAAAGACATGCCCACAGAAAAGATTTAAAAAACAAACAAACAAACAAACAAACAAAAACCATATAACCTTCTAATACAAATGAGATAACAGAACTCAGGGAAGAATTAGAATGTTTTTTAAAAATCATTTATAAATAAAGTCTGAACTACAAATAATGCAAAAAATGAATACACATGAAAGAATAATGCCTGGAAAGAAACTGAAGATAAAAAGAAGGAAAAAAATCACATAGGAATGAAGAAGCAAATAAAGACTTTAGAGAAAGTAAAAAATATTGTAAAATTGCCAAAGCAGAGGCAACTTATACTTAATAGGAGTCTCTAAAGAAGAAAACAGCAGCAAGGTAATAGAACAAATTCTAAAAACACTAACTCAAGAAATTTTCCTGAAATTTAGAGAAAATTTGAAACTAGAAATTGAAAAAAACTACCTATCTGACAATACTAACCCAGAACAACCAATACAAAGGCATAGCCTAATATGATAATTGGATTAAAATATATATGCCTTAGGCATCTCTGAAAAATAGCAAGTGACTTATAACAGGAATAAAAAATCATCCTAAGGGTTTGCACTCTTTGCCAAAAGAGAAGGGAGTATCATAATAAAGATACAGAAAGAAAGAAAATGTCATTTTCTATGTGCAATATTGATATTCCAGTAAAGGGCATAAATAAACTGCTGCTAGCTAAGGGGATATTGTTCTCATGAGCCCCTGGAGAGTGACTCTCAGGCACCAAAATGCTTAGAAAGAATCAATGTAAGCACTGGTAGAGCATTAAACCTACAGTTACTTGTAGAACTAAGTGAGAGTTTAAAAAAAAAAAGAGAGAGTGATGGTTATATGATCTGACAATATATATATATAGGAAAACCATTGTAAAATAGGAGGGGAAATGGGGAAAGTATATGCAAAAAAAAAGATAAAATTTTACTGCTGTCAGAAATTGTACTGTTGGTGGTAGTATTAATATTGTTATTCTGAGGCCATGTAAGTAATGTGAGAATATTCTATCATTCCTATGTCCCTCTATAAGTCAAGAATTTCAATAAGTCAAGAATTCATATATTCTCAGACATATAAAAAAAACTTCTTCAATGCAAGACACTGAAACTAATATGGTATATCTAAGGCTGTATAATATTTATTTGATTAGAGAACAAGAAGGTGATAGGAGAACCCAGTGAAGGACCTGTAGAATTTTTGATGTCCTGAAATTTCCACCTCATTGCTTATTTTAAAAGGATGTTTTTTTGCTCTCTAGTTCTCAATAGGCTCCAAAGACACGGCAATTATTACATTGTTTATTTTGAGGACATTAACAGTCTCAAAGTCCAAGATACCTAAGATATGCTATCAGGCGTTCACTTATCTTGGCATTGGTTACTTACCAGTTCTGTAGCCTTTCAACCACAGGTCTGAATCCAGGGCCTAATGGCATCTTTCCCCAACAAGGAAAGGTCATGTCTTGGAAATGCCCTTTTTTCTCATAGTTGACTATAACCAGCATTGATAGAATACATTTCTGCTAGTCTGCTTCAACATTTTAACCTTATCTCAGCTAGCATGTCCAAGCTTGAAGAAGAAAGGATAGTTCTGTTTTCACTTCTACAGCAGTAGTGGCTACCATGTGTCCTGTTTTATATAAGAGATTCTTTATTTTAAGGGAATTTAGAATCTGAGATAAGAATATTTTAAAAAGTATTGTTCATGATCTTCTCCTTTTTGATGCTTTCCTATAACTCATAAGAAAATGAATCTCTTCAATTAACTCTGTCAAGTCTTCAATTCCCTTCCTGAATCTTCTGAAAACACTCACTCTCAGGAGTGTTTAAAGATTTGGTGGGAAGTCCTTTCAGGTTGTCTTCCACCATCCACCAATGGTCACTAAAGCAGCAATGACCTTTGAGTTTCCACACCAATTATGTATTAGTTGCAAACCATTTTCCAAAAGACGTATGCTCATTATGTGCAAAACAATCAGCTTCATGTCTAGACCTATAATCTTAGTGACCTAGGCACTAGGCTGTCTCTTAGGAGTTAGGACAGAAAATACAGTCAGCGTTTTAGCCTGGTGGTGAGTGGACTTGGGTCCTTTGCCCAGCATCAATGGGAAAGGAAGAGAGTTGAAGACCCAGGTTCTCAAAGTGCAGTTTATCTCAATTAATCATCCTGACATTTTCTAAAGGGCCACCTCCCACTCCTGATACCCACTCAGCTCTCAGCTTGGAATACTCTGAACAACTCTCACCTTCTTAGCTGTCTTCTCTTGTATTTTCTTTCAAAATGCTTTTCCCTCCACCTTGTTCCTCTGTTAATCTATAGCCTATGCTTTCTACCTTTAGGATATCTTCATAAATTTCTAATCTACAATTAATACTGTCTGTTATTTTTTAGAAATGTTACAAATTCATTCTTTGAAAAGTATTTTCTATCATTTCAGAGAATTTGGGTCAAATGGCAATGTAAACGTATGTGTTCTATTTCATTTCTTGATCAAATCTCATGCATAATGAGTTTTAATAGTTATGTGAAATGACTAAAGAACAGTGAGCTTGTTTTAAAATGTTCATTATTAAAAACTCTTGAAGGAATTTATAATCATATATACATATATTCATTTTTGTTATATGTCTATAACTTAAATACATCTGCCTATACAGAATATTTTATTGTCAGAATAATGGTAACTTTATGAAAGCAAGTGCAAAAATTTCTTTATGCCATAGAATACTTTAAGTAGCATAATAGTGGTCTATCCCTTGAAGGCCTCGAAGAATTACCACTTAAAATCATGTGGAGCTGTCCCTTTTTAAATAATTTTTAAAAATTTATTTTTCAATTACCATTGACATACAATAGTATATTAGTTTCAGGTGTACAAAACAACATAGTGCTTAGACATTTTTATACCTCACAAAGTGACCACCCTGCTAAATCTAGCACCCATCGGACACCATACATAGTTATCATATTATTGACTATATTCCTTATGCTATAGCCTACATCCCCATGACGACTGTGGAACAACCAATTTGTACTTAATCCCTTCCCCTTTCTCACCTACCCCCAACACCCCTCCCATCTGACAGCTATCAAAATGTTGTCCTTTTAAAAAAATTATTTATTCTTTTCAGTTACAGTTGACATTCAATATATTTTATATTAGTTTCAGGTGTACAAGCATAGAGGTTAGACATTTATATAATGTATGCAATGATCCCCCCAATTAGTCTAGTACCCACTTGGCATTGTGCATAGTTGTTGCAACATCATTGACTATATTCCCTATGCTGTACCCTACATCCCTGTGACCATTTTGTAACCACCGATTTGTATTTCTTAATCCCTTTGCCTTTTTTCACCCAGATCCCCAACCACCCTCCCCTTTGGCAACCATCAGTTTGTTCTCTGTATCTATGAATCTGTTTCTGTTTTGTTTGTTCATCTATTTTGTTCCTTAGAGTCCACATATGCTAAGTGAAGCAAGTCAGAAAGGAAACTGCTCTTTTAACAGAGGTAATTTTTTAACTACTTTCTCAATTTCATCTGTGGATATTGAACTGTGCATGTCAATCATATATTCTTGACTAAATTGTGTTAATTTATTTTTTTATTCAGTCTGTTTTATTCAGATTTTAAAATGAGTTGGTATAGAGTACGACATATTTTTTCTTAATTCGCTTTATTTTATCAATCATGGTTTCTTTCTTAATTAGGTTAGTTTATTGCTTTATGTATTTATTAATTGCAAATAAGTTGGATTTATTTAAAGTTCTGTTTTTATTTTTATTCTGATTTTTGCTTCATATTTTTGACAGCTTTTATTGTGTGTGTGTGTGTGTGTGTGTGTGTTTCTTTTCAAATTTAATATTTATTTCACTCATTTTCCTAATGTCTTGTTTAGTAATAAGAAGACTTAATTTCATGAATTTTTATTAGTAAAATGTTGGTAGACTCTATAGATTTTAACATTTAGGATTCCCATTTTTGTAAATTCCTAAGTAGTCTGTGATTTCATGTTTGATATTTTTTAGCCTAAGATTTTCGTAGAAATGTTTTCTCTTTTATTTTAAAGTTGTTAGAAGCATTTGCCAAAATTAATTATTAAATTCTAAGTTGTGTCTCATGGTGGACAAGAAAGCAGTCTACTAATTTTCTTTTGTTAATTTTTTGAGTTTTTTATAGTAATTTAATTGTATAGTTGCTCTCTAATTTTAAAGTATAGCACAGTCATCTGGGTATTTGTTTAAAATGAAGTTTCCAGAGCTCTAGTTCTACAGGTACTGATTTAGTAAATCTCTCATAGAGCCTGGAAATTTGCAGTTTTAATATCCCAAGTAATCTTGATGTAGGTGATCTACAAACAACAGTCTAAGGGGTATTATAATATCAACAAATGATCAATATTGGTCATTATTCCATAAGCACAGGAAAAAATGGTTAAATTTCTTTAGGGAATATTTGTGGATAGTAACATAGTAGAGCAGCCTTGTTATTTGTTGTTTATGTCATCTATAGCCTTTCAGGTCTACATGTATAAAAAAGCAATAAATGTGTATAAAGCTACTGTATATACATATAAATGTATATAAAGCTGCCCATTTCTTCCAACAATGTTTGCTTAAACACAATATTTCATTGATTCTGAGATATATAGATAGATATAGATATAGATTTATTTATTTCATCTTACAATCAGTCTGTATCATCAAACTATTGACTGCTCACAATCTTTTTTGGCCAGATGGGTCATCATTGCTTGTGTGTTTACAAAAGTCAGGAATGCCAGCTTCAATATCTGTAGAGTGATCGTCATTGGTTGAATGAAAGTTCCAAGGACAGTTGTAATGCACTCTTTTAGACCCTGAGAACAAATTACAGTAATACCTTGGTTTGCAAGCATAATTCGTTCCGGAAACAAACTACTTGTATTGCAAGACATCGCTCGTTTACCACGTTAAAATGTATTAGAAATGTTTGCTCATATTGCGGAACACTCGCAAACCACGTTACTTGCAATCCAAGGTTTTCCTGTAGTTGTGGGAGAGGTGGGAAGTAGCAAATCCCATGTATTTGTCAATATCCCTGAGACAGGCGTCAAAGATAGGCTAACTCTACACAATTGTAGTAACAGTTTAAGACACCAATAATAACAGCTTTTTTTAAAAATATAATCTTTTTTAAATGTTGCATTACAAACACATTTAAGAGAGATCATACTACCAGGAAGTACATTAACTGACACAAATAGAATTTCTCTTCTGGGCTGAGGATATATCCACCTATCAATATGGTTCAATCTAGACCACCCTTCATTAACACAGATAATTCCCTAAGTTTTACCAAACATATAGACACATGCATCATTTAAAGAAGCTACTAAACACAAAAACAAACTCACCTCCATGCCACTCCAACTCATTGAAAACAGTCAAGAAAAGAGGCCAATAAAATTAAACTGTAAATAAAATTGTATTCTCAGGAGCACTAAATTTAGAAAAGCAGGTTGCCATAATAGAAGGAAAACAATTATATAAATTTAAAACATTGTTTTAAAGTAGATGGTCTAAATAGCAGAGTGCATACAGATAAAGATTGAATTTGTGAGGTAATTCGGTAGTGAGAATGTTAAAGTATTTTCCCAGAATACATTGGAAAAGAGCAAAGAGAAAATAGGTATAAAAGAAAATTTTAGAGACATCAATTGAAAAGTTTTAATTTTACAGAATTGGTTCAAAAGTTTTAAAACTGTTTAATAGAGGTTCCAAAATAAAAAAAGTATAAGAATAAATCATCAATGAAATAATAGAAGATTATTTTTCTAAAGTGAAAAATGACTTCAGACTCATTAAGTACTGAAAGAAAGTAATGTTAAAAACATTCCCAGAGAGGCACTTGAGAAATTTTTGAATTACAACAGAGTCAAAATTCTAAGAGCCTCCAAAATGTAAAATAGGAAACCAAAAAATAGAAATTGTCAACAAATAAATGAGCACCATATTGACTTTAGACTTCTCATCTGAAATTTTGGAAGCTAAAAGGTAATAAAGTAATTTTTTAACTTTATTCCTTAAAAGGATAACTTCTTAAACTAAGATTTCTAACATTTAATTGTCAAGGAAAAGAAGGAATTTCAGACTTGCAATGATTTTTTAAAGAATTTGACAACTAAAACAAACACAAATGGACCAAGAAAATAGTAGTAAGAAAGTAAAGTAGTAGAAATAATAATTGTCTCAATAATTACTAATAAAATAGCTATAAAACTTAAAGAAATCGGAAATAATGTTCAAAACTGTGAAGATAATTTTTTTAACATAGAAATAAAATTCTAGCTGATTTTAATCCAACATGAGTGGGAAATGAAAAGCTGAGGAAAGAGGGGAAAAAACAGCCTTCATGGGGGATTTGTGTTATGTCTAGAGAGGAACTCAGTAGCTATTAATTAGTTATCAATATTAATAGAAAAATATAAAAATCTTAACTGAAATAAGCTATCTCTGAATAAAAAATTAAAGCTAAATTCCTATCTCATGCCATAAGAAAATAAATTCCAGGTGGTTGTAAATAAATTATTAAATATTCATCTCAACAAAAATGGACTAACAATAAAAGAAACTTACAGGAAAACAGGCAAGAAATCTATTACCCTAAAGAGTAAACTTTTTTAAATGACAAAATCAGTAAGTATTTGAAATGTATTTGGTTAGAGTGTTACAAAGGCATTACCCTTCACTTCTATATGCTCAGATATATTTTATATGTTATGTTAGTACAAACAAAATATTCTGAATTAATGGACTTATAAGGTTTTGTCAACAGGACTCTCCTATGCTAAAGTTTTAAACCCTCGGTGGATTGCCTCTCAGTAGACACAGAAAGGTTTTAGTTTAAAATTCTGTACTTGTTCCTAATAGAAATCCCCTTAAAAATCAATTATTATAGGATAGTTTATGATAAAGGAGGCTTAACAAGGATTAAACAGTTCATGTTGCTCCAAGCTATAAATTGTTCCCTACTTTCCTTTAACCTTGACCTTCATCCTTGGCAGAAGCTCATATAACTCCTTTTCTAGTGCTCATGTTGTTCATTGAGGATACTATTTCTGATATTTATTCTGTCACAGCGTATTAAAAACTACTAATTCCCATTATTAGAAAAAAGTTAGATAAAGTTCTTGAGTTAAATGACACAATGGGCATAACAAAATCAATATTTAAAAAAAGGAAGAAAGAAACCTGCACAATGAGGTTGCTGACCTCAAGTGGAAAAATAAATTTGAGATTTCATCTAGCTCTTCAGTCTATCTTCAGTCTATCTAGATCATATTGAATGATGGGAACATATCCAGGTGAATCTCTATGAGCCCATTCATGACTGTCTCCGGAAAAGATTGACAAGCCTCCTGTGCTGGGAGGAGCGGATCTGAGGAAAATTCCTTCAGAGTCAGATTTAACCACAATTCAATATTCTACTCACTCTACTTCTGTTATTGAATGCTAAGTATAATTTCATTTTCTTACATACTGGCTCACACTGTTAATTCATACTGAGCTAGAAGTTAACTAAGCAAATAGATTTTGCTTAAACTGCTATGTGAGAAATTAATTTTTAAATTACATGTAGAACTTTACACGTGGTGAATTATAGGTTGGAAATGAGGGTATTTCTGATCTTGATTTTGCTACCAAATTTAATAGAACTTTTAGCCCTATGTCCTCAATTTGATAAATATAGTCTCTATTTATTCTCAAAGTAGACATGTATTTATTTTTCTCAGTCCTAATAAGGCTTTTTGTAAATTGTATTTGTTCTATCAAGCTTTAAATAGAAGGTCTGTATTATTCCTACTGAAAATAACAAAGCAAAGAGGACTTATCTAAAACCAGTAATTTTTAGGGAAATCTAAGCAAAGTTTATTCTTCTCAAAACAATGTGGTTCTTTGCTAATTGTATCATCAGAATGCTTAATCAATTCAATGGACATATCAGTTCTTCCAATTCACCTCTAGACCAGAGGGACCTAGTGGAACTCACTTTCTCTGAAAAAGTTTATCCACTGTCAGTATTCATTTTCCCTGGGAAGCCCTTAGTAAACCACACTAGCGCATGATACAGGTTGGGGAGATTCTGCTTGCAGATGCGTTCAGAGAGCTTAGCACTCCTCAAGAAAGAAAGAGACACGTGGTTGTTGAAAGAGCTGAGGTATAAAAATTACATCTTACTATAAGTGCAATGGGAAACCTTTGTGGGATTTTGAACAAGAAGATGATACAATCTAACTTATATTTTTCAAAGATCACTCTGTCTGTCTTGAGGAGAACTGATATGGGATGTGGTAGAAGGCAAGACCAGTTGTCCAGGAGAGAGAGAACCATTGCCTGAACCCTAGTCTTGTGGTAGAGATTATGGAAGTACTCATATTTTGGGATATACAGAGGATGTCAAAAAAATGTATACACATTTTCAGAAAGGAAAAAACTGTATTAAAATTGTAATACTCAATATATACCAATAACAAAAGATGAATACAAGTCATGTGTATACATTTTTTTGGCACCCCTGGTATTTTTGAAGGTAGGGCCAGTGGGGTTTGCTAAGGAATAGTGGGATAGAGGAATAAAAAGTCAGGAATGGCTCCTGTATTTTTTAACAAATGGCTAAAACAACCATCATTAACAGAAAAGATTGAGGGTGAGCAGGTCTTAGGGTCTGGAAATGAGCAATTCTACTTGGGTCATGTTAAGTTATACATACACATTATAAGGATTGCTTGAGAGCTTCAGCTCATCTTATGGTGCCTAAGCTCCTGCTGCAGCCTTGCTCATGGCTTCAACCCCACCCATCCGAAGTGACAATCTTCTCTTTCAGTTCTTTCATTTCCTCTGTTTTTGTTGTGTCTGGTGAGTTAAAAGCTGGTATTCTTTCATAACACACTAATCTCTTTCATTCATCGCTGACATTGGAAAGGGTTACGCTGACATTGGAAAAGGTTAGCAAAAGAACCTGAGCTGAGTGATATTTTGAAGAATCCCTGCTTTCTCCAGGACCCACCAAGCCAAATAGAAGCCTGCCTTCCATCAGGACTGCCCCTTCCACAGCCAGTATGAGTAGCCCGCCTGGCACTCCCCTCCGTTCCTTCTCTCTGACAGTCCTACCTAAAGGTCTATGTAAGACACCTTATTAGGACTGCTCATCTTCAGTTTCCCTTCCCAAATAGTGTCTGGAAACCAGAGACCATCATTCCAATAACCTAAGAGGCCCTGTTAGGCCCCAAAAAACTACTGCCTTCCTCCCATAAAGCCCAGCTAGAACCATTCTGTTTCCCCACATAATCAGAGAATTTCCAACTGTTAATAATATATTTCCCTTTCTGGAATACAACCATAATCATGCCAGGAAAGAAAAAATTGCCTGGTCATCTTGCAAAGGCTGTGATCTGTAGCAAACCCCACTGTGTTAGGAAGCCTTCTTGGACTATTATCTGAAACCCTTCAGAGCCAGACATTCATGTGTACAGCACAGGATCCACTCATCCACCCTGGTGAAGGGGCTTGTCTTTCGGATTCCCGGCTGCATGGCCTTCCTTGTGATACTCCCACCAAACTATCCTCAAATACCACTAGTCTTGCACAAACACTGAACAGTAACATAAGACCTACTCTGGTTCTGAAATAAATGGCAGCTGATGACACTGACTTATCTAGATGTTTGATGAAAAGGACAAGCAAACAACTATACAATACTAGATATAACAATAATCAGCAGGTGAAAAGAGCAACCAATGTAGGTGACCTAAAAAGTTCTTTATGGAAGCACAGCACCTTGCTGCCAAATTTTTAAAATAAAACACAATAAAGTTAATGAAGAATAGAATATAGCCCTTGATTTAGAAGATTAAATAAAGGAATTCTCCCAAAATGCATAGGAGGGAAAAGAGCTAGTTATAATATATATAGGAATAATACAGGAACAATAAACACAGGGAAGATTGATTCAGGAGATAAAACATTAACAAATAAGTTTCAGAAGGAGAATGAGGAGAAATGGGCATCTGAATATTGCAGAGAAAATTCCCTGTGCTGGAGAACACTCTGAGAAAACAGATTCTAACATAGAAACTGGCTGAAAAATAGAATTTCAATGCAATGCAATTGAGGCTTTGAAGGGGATATCAGACTATTTTATTGGATAATTACAGTCACTAAATTATAAAATAAAAGTATTTTCTAGAAAAAATAACCCAAACTGAATCTTATAGAAGATTCTAGAAAAGGGAAACAGCATAGAAGGAGTCTTAGAAACATAAAATAGCATGATTAATTCAAGGAACTCTGTATTCATTTTGTTCTGTTCTAAAACTCTCATGGAAAATTCTGTGTCTTAAATAGCATAACCCCCAAAGGCATTAATAAGGATAGAAAGTTTTAGTTCACCTGTGTTCTACAACACCAAGACTTTCCTAATTACAGCCAGGCCCAGGTAATCTTGCATGGTCTCTGTGGGCCTGAGCAGGCTGAGGGTCAACGTTCTGCCATCCGTGTGTGCCCAAGTGTGTGTTTTCCTCATACATTTCAAAGTTAAACACAAAT